AACTTCGTCGACAATCTGACCCATGGCCTGGCGGTGGCGGCCAGCTTCATGGTCAGTGGCCGGTTCGGTATGCTGACCACGTTCGCCATTCTGGTGCACGAGATACCGCACGAGATCGGGGACTTCGCCATTTTGTTACGCGCTGATTTCAGCCGATGGTCGGCGATCAAAGCGCAGCTTTTCACTGCCGTTGGCGCCTTCGTGGGCGCCGCCTGGGCGCTGGTCGCTTCAGTGGTCGATGTACACCTGCACATCAGCATCATCCTGCCGGTAGCAGCCGGAGGATTCCTGAATATCGCCTTAGTGCAGATCCTGCCCGATCTGCTCAAAGAGTCGGAGACGAAGGAGAGCTGCCGGCAACTGGCCTTAATCGTACTCGGCATTTTGATTATGGCGATGTTCAGTGCCTTCTGACTGCTTTTTACTTAACTGTTGAAAAGTTTATGTTTTTACAGTTTTATTACTCTATGCATAGATATAGTTTTATTTCATTTTACAGATCATCATTAAAACTGTTTGACAGCATTACTGGCGTTATCTACAATATACTAATACTTCGTAGATTGAAGGTAGACCTCATTTTTGTATGCATTGCCTGAACCAAAGGTGTAACAACTTTTTCAGTTCACAAATCGCAACGAGTCTGTGCAGTTCAAAAAAACTAGTTTCGTCGTCTGTAATTTGCAAAGTGAAAACTGACGAACCGGTTTACATAAAGAAGTACCGGAACATTTTTTTTCTTACAAGTGGTTGGTTTTGTCATATTCTTGCAAACCTGCATGAAACGTTGTTACAGGTTTAAAAGGGTATGTTTATTTGGTGCCGTGTTGTTGACGTACAATTACTTTTTCTTCTTGACCTCCGTCGGTACAGTAAACCACGTGATATACCGCCAGAACTTTCATGTAGGTAACTTTGTATGTTACATGCTCTCCCCTCCCAAATCTTATCCACTGCGTGACTCAGGGCGGAGTTCAGTGCAGTCCGTCATTTTCTATGAACGCTCATTTTTTCAGGTCTCGGTGGCGTCAACATCAGACAGTAACTCTGACGTTTTCGATTCTGTGTCAGCGTGTCAGCTTGAGCAGATGATAACCCATGTGTCGATCAGAATTCGCCGAGATACTTGACCCAGATCATTCTTTGCTTTCCCCAGAGTTTTCGGCCAAAAATAGCTGTTTTGCTTTCCTTTCTGAAAGCATTCACCAAATTTCCTCAGACCATCGCAGCTGTCTTTTGAATCTGCAGCAGAAGCGAAGCGAGGCCACGGCTTTCTCGACTTTGTCTGAATTCTGGATTCTGTCGAGATGCTTAAAAAGCGGTGGCAGCATAGGTGACCGTATTCCTGGTGGGTAATTCTCCGCTCGTCACGGAACCGTTATGAGGTTATATGTGACTGTTTTGTAGATGATTGATTACCGGATCGATCCTTAGCCACCCGCTGCTAGTAGCCACCGTTGCCTGTCCACGGTTGGTTATTCGTTACAGTGTACCTCCATATCTGGAGTTCATTCCGCTCTCCGCAACCTGGGGACGTTCCAGGTTGTCTGCAGCTAGGCTCAGCAGTATTGTTGTCTTCAACTAAGATAATAATTGCAGGTCGTCTGTTACTTAAATCTTTAATAGACAAGTTCATCCGTAGTAGTTCATCGAATCTGTGAAACGTCCGACTCAGGTTTACATCCAGAAAATAAAGTAGGTACCGAAACGCATCTGACGCCAGTCAAAGTATGACTACGTACTTCTCGTTTTATCGTCACCATTTCCTTGAACTGTGAGTTGAACCGCAGGACGGTTCAGAAAGCCTCACAGACATTTTCAAGGTCCTAAAGCACTCGAACGGTTTTCAGCTCATTGACAAGTAATATGTCTCTGTTCCAAGTGAGTTACTTGTTTGACAGAGTTGGAGGAATTGAAGCTTTTTAGAACTTTTACCAGTAGTTTAAGTACGTGACCGTCAGCTCACAATAATACGTGCAAACTCAACTTCGATAAATGCATAAAAGATGCCGACCGAATATCTTGGTTCTGTGTCCAGTTACTGTAATAGATTATGTCAAAATGTATTCTTCAGCAGTCGCTTCATTTCTGGACTGATCAGGGGAAATACTAGTTTACTTATTATTCATAATAAAACTAAACAATGATTTTTCCTACTCAACATTGAGAATTGCGGTAATACAGTAACACACTACTTCGTTCTTTCTATTTCTCACCAGGACTAAAAGACAGACGGGGTTCACAACATCAGCTCTGTCGGTGTCACCATAGACGTAAGTCTACAGTTCAGTAAACACGCGCAGAAAAGGTAATCATCAAAATACGACCGCGTAGCTATTTCGTTGAACAACCAACTTCATTGTAAATTTCCAAAAGAATCAGAGAACTATTTCATGAACATTATCCGTTCGTACAGTGGACCTATGGCAGATCAGATGACTGTCATGAGCTTCGCGACGGATCAGATTGTAAAATCTATAACAGATCTTTTCTAGCTGGTTTTTGTTCCTTGTGCCATGCTCATTCAAAATGCGCTTCGAAGGCTCATTCCACAAAGGCCTCAAAATATCAGCATTTATACGAGGACTGAATGAAAAATTATGCGAGAATCCTATGAATCACGCAGAAAATCTAACCTTCACTAATCCTTAAAATGAGGACTGCATAGTCGGAATCTGCTCGAATGGATTTTTCATGCAGACGCATACATTTAAATATTCATCTGCAGTAACTTTATTTCTGTATTTTCTGTACTTCGTTTCTTGTCTCAATATTATGTATTTTATCAGTTCCTGTGCATTTCATACATATTGTTATATCAAAGCGTCGATTCTAAACGTATATGTTAGTTGCGGTAATTTAGGCGGTAATTTCTTTTGGTTGAGTGATTGAACTTGGTAATGAGTGATTGAACTCTCGCATCACTGCATCCGTCTTTGGCGTGTCGACCGTTTCGGCCATTTGACAGAAATTTTGAAGCGAGCCAATTTCAGACATTTGTAAGTGTTTTAAAACAGGAAATGACGTTTGGTTTTTTAAGCGACGAAAATCTCTCATGTTTCAATAAAACACGTCCGACCAGTGAATAAGGTCGGATAGTTAGTTCAGTGACTCTAAATTTCTCTACATCCGTTGTGGTTTTTATGCTGTTACTTTTGAGGTTTTCACAACTTCACTCAGCGGGCGAAATCCGAATCACAGTTAGCTTAATCCGTTGGAGTTCACATTCAGTCTAATCGGCGAGGATAGCACAACATTTGAGGAAAGGGATGGGCTACGTAGTTAAGATCATTTTCACGAAATGACGTTTTAAATTTGCAAGTTCGCTTTCATGTCGATGGGTTCAGTGAAGCACGGCACCATGATGACTACGAGTGCTTGTAATAAACCGCTAAACGGTCGACCGCTGGTAAAACAATTAAATATGCTTTTAGGTTGTTGTTTGCAAATAGTCACATTCCATTGTGAGAAAATGATAGGAAGCCATCACCCTGATGAAACCACGATGATGTGTTTTTCCATCATACCGTCTACCGAGGTTGCTCAATCGGCGTGGTGTCAGACTCAGAATCGAGAGGTTCAAAGTTCGACAGCCCGTTGGGTCATTCACCTTTCATCATTTCGAGTTTAAGGAGTACAACCTTGTGAGAAGGAAGCATAACATTCCGGTTATATCATTGCTGCTGCCTTAAAAAATGGCACTCGTGACTGATGGCTTGGAAACAGCGATCAGCTTCTCACATTAACTTCTTGAGAAGGGCGCCAGAACGATCCCATCCTGAAAGTGTAAGAAAGGCTGATATTGCAGCGATTGCTGACTTTTATTCTTTTCCTACCGTTTGAACGAAAGACGACAACTTGTTAATAAGAAACATTAATGATTTGTATGATGATTGAGAAACGAAATTGCCAGGTGTATTTTCAAGGTCCTTTAGATCCGCTTAGATTGCATCGCCGAACCTTGTGTACCTTTGTTGATGTCGTCGTTTGAAACGAAGACAGTATCCGTGATTGTCATTCGTAGTTGTCTAGACTCTATCAAGTAGATCAAAAACATTGCAATATGTAAAATTGGGGCATCAAAAAATAAGACCATAAATTTTGTGGTGTCTAACACCATTGGACCAATTTAGTCAGCGTTGTCACATGACCAAAAGAGTTTAACCCGCCATCTGTATTCATCTATGAAAGAAGGCACGTCATGTATCATGTTGTGTACGCTATAAGTTCCAAGTAGCTCCCTCATAAATAGACAGGGTAAC